ACCAAGTGTTGGTGACAATCAGTCCATTTCGTTCACAAAAGTCAATAAGCATTTGACCCCTGTGATTCCGTCTTCCTAGTCCATGTGATCCAACAATATTCTGATATGGTTCATCTCCAACAATGCTATTCCAATCTCCCACTATGATGCTGTTTGTGTCACCTCTTCCATCTTCCTGAAGAATATCTTCAGTTGTGTCATACACTTTTTCCACTTCATCATCTTCATACTCTGATGTTGGCATGTACACTTGCATAATCAGTATATCTACCGGTTCCGCCTTTAACTTCAGAGCAATAATTCTGGCATTACAAACAATCTTCTTAAAACACTCCTCACTACACTTTTATGCACCACTATTGCCATACCTCTTTCAGCCAGTTCACCTCCGGAATAATACACTGTACAATCACCACTTCTTATTTCACTTTGTCCTTTCCACCGCACTTCGCTGACACCTAGAACAGACACCTCATTCTTCTGCATTTCCATTTTCAAATTCTCCAATTTGCCTGCTTGATTCAAGGTCCTTACAATCCATGTTCCAATCTTGTAGCCATGATGTTCCTTCTGATCTTCGCACTTTTTCTTGTTGTAACGCCTGCATGACATTTCCTCTAGAAACACTCCCCCCCCGGAGATCGGATTGGGGGAGTAGTTTACCTCCGGATTGTTTTGTCTCCAGAGGAAACATCTCGCATACATGGTATCTCTGTTTTTGGAAAGAGACTATCCAGGAAAAGTGTTAATGTGGTAGTTTTTCCATTTGCTTTCCACATCGCAGTACAGCAGCCGTTCAAACCACTCTGGTCACGCCTGTTGCTATACAAACTTGAACCATCTTGAAAATCATTTGCTCTGTGCTTCAAGTCACTACTGATGACGCCGCTTCCAGCATCAGTTTTTGATCTGTCTTCATCTGATGTCTATCCTTTGACCTGTCCAGCAAGGGAAGCCCTGCCAGTAGCTATGCTACCGCTGGTATAGCTCTCACGGTCCTTGGCATACTCAAACCCCCTCACCACGATAAGGTGCAGACACCAAAGAGGTGGCCAATATAATATAAAACATAAAATACAATAAAGGGTAAAGATTTCAAATGAGATAAGTTACATAATTAACATGTAATTAAGAACTATACATATAATATGTCCTATTAAGGTAGGTTGTTGCAATCATAGCGTTTTAGTCATAGTGTTTTTGCAGACATATGGTAATAGTTTTCTTGCTCTTCACAAAGAGCCTGATATTGATGTCAATAAGAAAACAACTGAAGTGGAATCAATTCTACGAGTTATCACGTTTAGGGCAAGAATACATGTGTCCACATCCTTGATGTTATATGGAACCCTGTGATTCGTGCACCACAGCGCTGGATACTAGACAACTACTACTTCAATTTCTCTAATAGGGTCCTTAGAGCTCTTATGATTAAAAGAATTGCGTGCAATGCAACTCAAACACCCGAAGCTAACAGTATGAAACCGCCATGCTCCATAACAGGAACCATTCTAACTTGGTTCACAAACATTAATATTTCCCATTCATCACAACACCTAACTCTATGGTGTCACATATTTATTACCTACTCATCACAAGACAAACAAAATTACCTGGAAGATATTTAAACCTAAGAATGATCACATCTCGGCAATTCAGGATACTGACCTAACCATATACATATCACCCAGAATTTCTGACACTTCAGTAGCCTCACAAGTAAGAAGCATTATAGGGCACATAACATTCATACCAAATTTTCTGTGGGGAAACCTCCTGGAAAGTGGATCCTTGCAAGATGGAACACCTCTTGGTAGAATAACATTAAAACAGGAGGTATCAATAAGCAGATATCTGGATCACAGGTCAACTCAACTGGCTATACATTACATCCAATGAACATCTCCGTGACCGTGACTTCCAACCTTCACATTCTGCTGCCACAGCACTGCTTCTTAACATTCAATCAGTCAATTAATGTCTTCACTAAGTTTTAGCGAAGCAATAATCATGTCTCTAATATAAACAAAAACTGAGGACAACTGCATTCACATATGTTATGTATAAGCACACATAATCATTAAGAGCGATATAATCTTCACGCTAGCAGAGCAGAATGGAAATACTAGGCAATGTTATCAGTGCATTTCCAGTAAAACCAAGGGACAATATTAATATCTGATGTCTAAATGTATTCCATTAAACTAAATTTCATCATTACTTCTGCACAGTTGTGGGATGATAAGATGCTCAATGACATGCTTCATAAACATTAATCAAGACGAGTGTAATGTGTCCAACATACTCCAGTTAACCTTACACCTCAACCTGCCACTGAATACTTACTTTGTTCCTCTCACTAGAATAATCTACTGTATATAACCAGCATCAAACTCAATCAAGTCTAAAGAAATCCAGTCAAACTCTACACACCACTTGTAACTCTCATCAACCTCTGAAATATACAACACAATAAACACAACTGTACAAGCTACATGTTTCACTAACAGGGCACAAATACTAATACTACTTGTACAATTAGTACCAGTGGATTCAAGGGAAATTCATTTTCATGGTACGAATACTATGCCACAGAAGCCCAAATGAACATAACTTTTATTTTCCTACAATAACCTAATATAGCATGGTAGAGACAAAACTTGCCACATTGGGTTCATTATTCACATCACTGTGCATTCAGGCAGGGAAGGGCCTCATTCAGTTACCTGAGGTTATAACAACTGGGGCATAATATCAATGACCAAGACACTGCAGGCTCACGCTGTCAGAAACATTTTGCACACATCCAACTCTTCAAAATTCCCAAGGACCTAAAACTTACAAAATTCTATACTTCACAGTGCTTAGTATTCCTGAAGACTGGCCTGGTTTACATCTGGTAACACTGGAGGTCTAGGGAACTGCACATAATCTTGGAGTTAAATTACCACTCTTCCACACACTGCCCTGGTTTCCTGAGAGATGAACACATGATTTTGACACTACTTGCTTTTTGTCTTTCTAAATATGTAATTTACCACATTCAGTCTCCAGTCATGTACAACATAAGTAGTTATTTCATTCTTACCTGCAGATCATGGTGCCAGCACCGAAATGGAACTGATATTCAGACCCATAATGTTATCTGGGAGGACATGGATTCTCTTGAACAACAGGCGCATACCACGTATGTAGAATCAAATCCACTCCTCCTTCCTGCACCCACTGAAACACACATTGTGCACACCATTAAACATTTGACAGGAACTTATTAAAGATGAGCAGATGGCTAGTAATAATTGAGCCATGCTTCTCACTACGCACACATTCTACTTGCCTCCAAGCTGCCTCCAATAAGCAGATTGGTCATCTGTCCGTTTTGGTGCCTATACCTACAAATTCCCTATACTCAACAGGCAGTCCCAACGTTCCAATATATTGTAATAATAAGTAACCTGTATCATATAACAGATCCCATCTTACATCTCAATTATCTGTCGCTATCATCTAGAGCTACATTCTTCATTTAAAGGAGCAAGTAATGTCAGTCTGCACCCAAGGCGTTCTCTTTAGTTGAAGCATCGCCTCACTGCACATTCTGGCACAACTCGGTTTGATTAACTGGTGCATCATACCACTATGTATCCAAGAGCGATTCTATGTTACAAGATATCTCACATATCTAAGTATTTCTAGTACTTATAAACCTTCACATTCCCAAAAACCTCCAACCTCCCGCACTTTACACAATCTCCCCACATTCAAAACTGCATGATATATAAACTTTGATATTCCTCACAACTATCCAACTTCTATAACGCAGACAACTATTCCTATCTATCGAATTTCACAACTTCCTATGATTAACCAACTTATGGAAAATAATTACACTCTCAAATAAAACAAAGTACCTTGCTCCCGCACATCACTTCTTTTTCCTCCCGGTCACTTGTCTGAGCTTCTCATTTACATCGACTCCTAATAGGTTAGGTTGGCCGAGTTTACACCTCCACTGTGATGGGCAACTTACACCACCGTCACAGTTTTTGCGGCTGTCAAGAGATGAACACGTGCAGTCTTTCTGTGTTTTCAACAGTATAGCTTATAGTTTACCTTATGTGGCTTTCATCATGTAAAAGCGTAATGTATCAGTTACCAACATACTGACGTGCCATCATAAACTTGCACCCACTGAAACGTACGTACGTCTGTAATATTAATCCATAGGGGAAGCACAATAGATCATTGAAGGTCGCAGCTCGAAGGCCAATTTTATGGCTCACCCCTCATACTATTACTCATACGCATGTCTGTAATATTATGCACGAAAATCTGGATTCTGTTCCAAGGCCACTGGCAGTGCCTCCCCATAGCTCAAGCGGTTAGTCGCTGACATCCAACCGCGGCGGCCTGGGTTCCATCCCAGGTCTGTTCAAGTGGGATTTGTGGTGGATAAAGTGGCACTGGGGCGGGTTTTCTCCGAGTACTTCGGTTTCCCCTGCCAATCTTCATTCCACCAAATTCTCCATAATCATAATCACCCGGGCCAGGCTACAATCAGTGGCTGCCGTGCCGAGTGGACCCAGTTGGACTCCACCCTCAACTAGGCGAATAAAAAAAAAATAAGGCCACTGGCAAAGAATCCACTCCACCTTGATCAACCGATTAAAACACACATTTTACACATCACCACACACGGACCCACTTACCTCACAAATCAAGATATATCACAAGATCAGACCCATCAGACCGCTAACAGAAGGTGTACTGTGATTGGGTCACCCAATGGCAGCGAATCCCTTGTTTTCCCCTTCCCTTATGACAGTTACTTCCCCTTGCTACGGATACTAGTACAGTACTCCGTAAACATAGAGTTCAACTCTTGAATGTACATATGGGTGGGGGGGGGAGATGATGGTGATGATGATGATGATGATGAGCAGGAGGGGTGGAGGAGGAGGAAGAAAAATTGCATACGTGGTTAATACATTATATTTCTTTCATTGGGAATAAACTTATTGTTATTTTGATTAGAAATAATGCTTTTGTAATATGTTTACCTTCACTTTGCCGTATTGATCCATTCTTACATCTTTTAAGAATTCTGCTTGGTAAAGGTACATAAAATTCTGCAAGCCTATGAATCTCTCTTCCGATAATTTCAATACAGCTGGTGCTTGATTTTTTGTTCTACTGCAAAGCCATTACTGTCTGATGAAAACAATAACCAGCTACATAAAAACATCACACCCCCTACAAACTTTTCATCACAGAATGTGTCATTTCTATCAACAATGCTAGCATTATTCCTGTATGAAGAGTGTCTACACAATACTGTGTTCATAAACCAGTCAAAATCTTCTTTATGTTGCATTAAGACATGAATTTCCCTACACGATTAAAATATTCTGTGGTTAAGCCATTATTTAAAAAAGGCGACAATAAAGATATAAAAATTATAGGCCTATATCATTACTAACTTCCTTTTCTAAAATTTTTGAAAAGATGTTATACATAAGACTCTCTAAACATGTAATAAATAATGCTATACTATCTAGTGAACAGTTTGGGTTTAGAAGCAATTCCTCAACAGGAAACGAAACGTTTAAACTTCTAAATGATACTTTACAGGCCCTAAATAATAAGGAACTTGTGGGAGGTATTTTTTGTGACCTCGAGAAAGCCTTTGACTGCGTTAATCACGACTTATTAATGGAGAAACTGAAATTCTATGGAATTGCAGGCAGTGCATATGCTCTAATCAAATCATATCTTAGTGATAGGTATCAACGAGTCATCACTGATGATAAATTAACACATTTTTATTCTTCTTCAGAATGGGGAAAGATTAAACGTAGTGTGCCCCAGGGATCTATACTTGGACCAATGCTTTTTCTTTTGTACATAAATTACCTACCTAAGGTAATTAATTATAACTCTAAGCCAGTCATGTTTGCTGATGATACCAGCATTATCGTTAGTAATCCTAATTTAGTAACTTTTAAGAAGGATATTATTTCCTCTTTCAGACAGTTGAATGAATGGTTTAATATCAATTTGTTGTCATTAAATTATAACAAAACTCAGTTTATACAATTTAGAACCACTAATAGCCAAACAATTCAATTAGATATCAGTTATAAAAATAAATATATCATTAACAATACAAATACTCAGTTTTTAGGTATTACTGTTGATAGCTCCTTGTCATGGAAGCATCATATTGATGGACTTATGGTTAAATTAAGCAAAGCATGTTATGCTATTAGATCTTCAAGACCCCTTGTGTCCCATGAATCACTAAGGATGATTTACAATTCTTATTTTCATGCAGTTAGATCATATGCTATAATCTTCTGGGGGAATTCACCTTATAGTATCAATATATTTAAACTACAAAAAAAGGCTATTAGAATTATTACAAATTCCATAAATAGAGATTCCTGTAGGGAGCTGTTTAAGAAACTAGATATATTACCGTTTTATTCTCAGTTTATATTCTCATTACTAATTTTTGTAATCAATAATATTTCCTTCTTTAAAACAAATTCAGGGTTATATGATATCAACACCAGAGGTAAAAATAATTTTTACCCTTCACAACCAAGGTTGTCTTGTCTATAAAAAATGGTGTTTATTATATGGGTGTAAAGGCATTTAATCACTTACCTCCTTGCATAAAAAATTGACTGATGATAAGAATCAATTTAAAAATACTTTAAAAAATTTCCTTCTAATGAATTCTTTTTATTCACTGAATGATTTTTTAATAATAATTAGTAATTTTAATGTGAATTTTTAAGATTTTATGTATCACAGGTGATTTATTTTGGCATAAATATGTTGTCATGTACCTTTGGTATGATGATTTTTTACAATATTAAATTTAAGATGTTGTTATGTTTAATGTTAAAGTAGGAAGATAAACAGTTTGGTTTATTGTTTGATCTGACCTATGCTTTTTTCATAGCATGTGTATTTTAGTTTCTTGTCTGTGACTGGTTCTATATCCGTCAGGCGTATTTGTAGCCTAGACTGGATCAATGGAATTTTACAATAAACTAAACTAAACTAAACTAGATATATGATTGACACATCTTGTACCTTCACCTAATTACTGTAACCGTGCGTCCCTAGTCAAAATTATATTAAGGGTATGAACTACTTACGCATAGTTTAATACCGTGAGAGACGCTCCATCGGCGAGATACCATCCCGGAACCATCAAGTTGTAATTCCACTATTGTCCTCCTTAGGCTAAGGGTGCCGCTATTGTCCCTAACGCCGCCTGTTTACTCCCAGTATAACATAAACCCATGAACTGACCGTGTGCGAGACCGGCCAGGAGGGGTCTTGGATTCCTTGAAGACCTACAGAGGTTTATGGGCATCTCGAAAAATACGAATGTTGGGCAGATGTCGGGCTCGGCCCTTTGATTTCTCTTGTTATTTTTCTTGTTTTTCTGATGCCAACTGGGGGACTTGAAAAGAGGGGGGGTCGGCTATAGGGTGCGGTGGAGGACAGTAGTTGGAATGTAGATAGAGAAGAGAGAAGTGTTTAAGAGTAGTGGTAGCTAGTCGGCGGACGGAGCGGCTAGCTTGGAGAATAATGTCCATATTCATCATTAATGAAATTTTAAATTAAAACTGCAATCCACAACGTTCTGGAGATCCTGGATTTATTTACCCCGAAGTGTGTTCCACTCCCATCTCCGAAGCACCCGTATCCTGTGATTAAGAACTCAAGCTCGAGCGACAGTCGTGGCAGCTGTACGTCGGTGGACGGCTACATTACTGTAACAAAACCATAATATCCATTACAGAAACAGCAAATTACCAAAATTAGGAATGATGTCAGTCAGGCAGAAAAGAAGAGAATACTCTTAGAATTTATTTGTAGACTATACAAACGTCATGTATCTAGAACAAGTCATAAAATTCATTTTTGTTTTCAATAAACAAACTCTGTGGCCTGTACAAGAGTAATTATGAATTCCTGTGTGGAAGTCAGCTATTGATGTAGGATTGAGAGATGTTAGTAGTGAGTTCAGACATTGTCTGTGGTAACGTTCAGCAAGATAACTAATCAACTCACAAAAAGCTCTGCAAAGTCTTTCTTGAGAAGCAAACAGTCATTCAGCTTTTTCAATAGGATAATCAATATTTCTGGCACCACACATGATAAATTCTGGTTTAAGTTTATAAAAGTAGTTTCTGTTTTCCAACTTTTTAAGGAAACGTTCAGAATCACCTGTCAGGGCTCTGTATGTTAACATTAAAGAATTTACATTCCAGTTGCACAGCATTCCATGTCCTGTTCATGATAGTGATGTTTTATAACTACCTGATGATTAAGGATTATGTAGGATTTTAAGTTTTCAAAGGAGTGGTTATGAAGAATTCTATCTTCTGGGATGTCACGATGTGTGGTCCCTTGAAAGTCAATTGCTGTTTCAGAGTTGAAGAACAAGCCAAGCAAGAAACCAGCATAAAGCTGGTAGCAGTGTAAAACTCTGCTTCCTACCTGCTTTAAGCTGGTTTCTGCCTTGGCTTATTCTTCGACCCTGAAGATGTAGGCAACATGTTCCTCCAAAATGTCAGTTCACTTTCAAGGGACTACACAGTGTTATAACCCAGCATATAGAATTCTGCAAATTAAGGATTGTTTTTGACAAAGATAGTGGTTTCTCCTTTTACCAGCTTTTGTCTACAGTAACCATCTCCTAGAGCATAACTGTTTAGAGTAACCAGTACATCTCTGGTGCTTTCCTAGTAACGTGGATGAAAGCAGTAATTCCCTTAACTCCACAACAAAGTGTTTCTTTCATTGCAACTAAGAAACTGAAAGTATGAGAAACATTCCTCATAGAATCTGGTAAATATATGAAAATAAAAATACTGACCACTGTTATGAAATGGAAAAACAAACTGCAAACATGGAGAACTGAACTGCCATTATGGAATTTCAAGATTATTTTTTGCTGCTGTGAAAGCTTCAAGGTGTCTGTTCACAGCACAGCACTGACAGTATACAATAAATTACAATTAATCTGTGGCAATACTGAATAGGAATATTGAACCAATTCAAATCTGTGAACCATTATCACAATTTTTATCCAGCTGGGGCTCACCAGTCATCTGAATCATTTTTTCCCTTGAACATCACTAGAATTCTGTCAGATCATTCACCTACATATCATAATATTAACCCACATAACCTAGAATCCAAGGCAACTACATAAGAAAAGCAGAACAGCATTACAGTGAGCAGCAGATTCCTTCAACACAATCTGTACACCTGATAATGGCCATTTGGGACAAAACATGCAGTGATAATAAAGAGAAAATGACGAGAGAGTATAACTGACGTTGCACATAG